TTATGTCTTTAAGACATTCCTGCAGTTTAACTAATTGGTGTGTGTTATCTGGCTTCATGGACAGATAGAGCTGGGTGTCATCTGCATAGCAGTGAAAGCTTACCTGACATCATCAACTTTAGACATACACAGAGGATAGATGATCCATGGTCAAGCTGAACACTGTCACCATCTTGACATGACAAGCAACTCAACCAGTCCCACTGTAGCCCCGCCCTAAATCCTGGCCTGCTTCGAGCAGGACAAACTGTTGTATTCAGTCAGACCTGAAAGTACTCACTGCTCAGATCGCCTGAGTGATCTGAAGGCTCGTACACTTCTGTCCAGTCAGACTCCTTCACAGCCAAGAGGAGTCACTCCCTGCTGGACATTAGAAAGAATGCAGGTTTAAGGAGCAGCGTCCATCTTAGTGGTCTAGTTTCAGGAGTTTCATATGAGTTGGTAAAAGTTCAGGTGAAGCTAAGCCCTTCTTTGTGTGTGTTTCTCAGGTGTAAGTGCAACCTACATGCATCTCAGTGTGTGCTGCGCGATGCGACACTGCAGTGTGAATGCGACCACAATACGGCTGGACAGGACTGTCAGAGCTGCAGCCGAGAGTTCACATCTCGCACCTGGAGACCAGGATCATACCTGCCCCTGCCCAAAGGCACTGCCAATGCCTGTATGTAGCTACACATGCACACAGACACGCACCTGCAAACAGCAATATAAACTCTACACCTGTTTCCATTCATGTCCTTCTCAGGTGAAGCAACAGAACCTGCAGCCAGTAAGTACAGCTCAGCTGATTAGCTGTCTTAACTGTCTGTCTGCTCACCTGTCTGTGTTGCATCATGGCACTTTACATTTGTAAGCAACTGTGTGTTTCTGTGCAGCTTGTCTAAGGTGAGCTTTTAGCAGCTGAATTCACTTCACGTTACATCATCCCCGTCAGTCACACGATAGCAGTCTACAAGGAAAATTAGGATGTTAATTATGTAGTTAACAGATGAGCCGCTCATGCTCTTAGTCTGTGTAAGTTGTTTTAAGTTGCTAGTTGTCACACACACACACTCATCCTAAGAGATGCAACCCTGACTGAATAGAGATCAACAGATAAGCTATATAGATCAGTAGATCAGCTAGTGACTGACTTTTTTAGATCTGAGGAGTCAGCAGCTGAATTCTCAAATTTCTGGACAAACGCGATTCAAAGTTTCTGAGACTAAAGCACAGGGTGGAAACAGTCTCGGCTAAAGAGAGGATTTGTCCAGCAGTCTGTGGATTTAGCTGCATTAGAAATTGTTAGTGTCCATAAAGCCTCTGCAGGACACAGACCGGGTGTTTCTTACAATCACAGGAGATGAGATGTGGCTGGATGGGCTGCAACAGACTCCAAACTAAACCCAATAGTATGGCCTCAGCACCCTATGCAGGAAGGACCAGAGATAATAACCCCACCGAAGCAGAGCAGAGGCTGATGAGCCATGGCAGAGATCAGGTGACTGAGGATGAGCTAGATGCATAAAAGAAACCCAAACTGTACGAACCTTGAGATCCAGGTTCAGTTGCAAAAGGAGCCTCTGCGCTGTGGTTCATTGTACAATGTTGACCTGTTGATGGTGTGAACACATCTATATAATTTCTAAAATAGCGCTGCTGTTCAGACTGTTAGGGGACAGGTATAAACATGTTGATATTTGGGGTGCTGAGAAGGAGGTTTAGTCTCAGATTTAAAGACAGGACTTGAAGAAAATAAGCATCAAGACCAGAAGATTAATGGCTCAAATGGTTTCTGTTGTTGGTTAGGGATTGCATGAGGGATGGGGTTGATTGCAGTTCCACTAAGACCAGGTTTTGGTTCCAGGGAGGCCTTTGAGAGCAGGTGGTTTACTCTGGAGTCTGTCAGCCTGACCATCTGCGTGGCTGTTATGAGAATGTTCATTTATTGCACTCCCTTTCATTAAAACCTCCCTGGAGTCTCTTAGCTGTAAAAAGATCTTGTTTTCATTCTTTTTCTGGTCTGGCTTCATGGTGGGACACACCCAGCTCACCAGTTTATTTTTACAGCCAGAGAATTAGACTGGAAAGCCCCAGTACCCTGTTCTGCAGACTGTAGAGAAAAGATTACTAAAGAGACGTAACTCTTCTTCTCTGACAGCAGGTGGTGACTCTAACTCTGAAGCATCTGATAGACCTGCCACATCAGATGGAGTGACTGACAGTACTACTACTGCTACTATTACTACTGTACCTGAGAGCAGGACGCCAACCAACACAAATACTGCTGTTGGCATTACTACAGCCACAACTGACAGAACTACTACAGCTACTGTTCCTACTAAAACTGACTTTGGTACCCCAGCTGACAGTACTACTACTACTACAACTACCAGTGACAGTACTACAGCCACTTATACTGTAACTGACAGTACTACTAAAACTGATACTAATACAGCTTTGAGTACTACTAACCGCATGACTGATAAGACTTTGAATGACCCAACTTCTCCTAAAGACATTCCTTTGACTACATTCATGTACACATTAATGTCTGATAACAGCACAGAGGGTCCTCTTATGGTTTCAGCTGATATTTCTACTAATACTGGAGGCAATTCAAGTACCAGTACATACATGACTGACTCTAGTACTGTGACTTACTTTACTAGTAGTAATGATTCAGCTGACCTTCCTTTAACTGCTATTGACTCTACCTCAACACTCACAACTGGTACAGTAGTTCTTACTGCTGTCCGTGGTACTATTAGTACTACAGGTTCTGTTGCCTTTACAGACTCATTCAGTACAGCTGGACCTACCACAGACACAGCTCCACCCAACAATCCACGTCTGAAGACTGGAGAAAAACCACCTCCCAGAGTACTAGACAGTACCACCAGCCGTCCTACCAGTACCACCCCCACTGTCCAAGGCAGCAGTACTGACACTGGAGGGTCTATCTCTGACCCACTGGGTCCACCCTATAACTCCACTTCAGACTTTGGTGTGCTTGGGACTGATATATCGAAGGTGGTGACCAGTGCTGTGTCACCTACTGTCCCAACACCATCAGCTGGAATTCTGCCTCTAACAACCATCCCAGAAACGTTTTCCCCAGGTGACGGGTCTCAATCTGAAGACTTTCTCCCCACTGGATCTGTCCGTATCAGTCAGGCTGGAGATACTCTCTTTACAACAAAACGTGATGGAATTTCTCTTCGTCCTGATATACCTCCTCTGGCTGTACCTCCTCCAGATCTACCACTGGAAGCTCCCTCTGTGGATATACCTTCTGCTCTTAATGAAGCCCTTCCTGATGTAATTTCTCCTGATGTTTTACTGGATATACTATCTCCGGATACACTTTCTCCTGATGCATCATCTCCAGTTACACTTACTAATAATGTACAGCTACCAGAAATGCCCCCTCTTGATCTATCATCTCCAGATACACTCACTCCTGATGAAATAGTTCCTTTTGTTACAACCCCCAATGTACTGTTTCCAGGTGCACCATCTCCTCCTGCTTTATCTTCCCTCAATGTTCCAGTTCCTGATGGAGCTCCTACTGATATATCTTTCCTTGAGGTACCTACTCAAGAACTTCCTCGTCCTGATCTCCCTCTGGAAGGACCACCTCCTGACAAACCTGCTCCTGATGTACCTCTTCCCGACCCGCCTTCTCGTAATGTATTTCCTCCCGATACACCTCCTCCTGACCTACCTTTTCCTGATCCGCCTTCTCCAGATGTACTTCCAGATGGGCCATCCATTAAGACTCCAGATACTTCAGTAGATTTTCCTCCTCCTGATGTACCTTCTCCTGATGGGGCATCTCCAGAAATACGTCCTCCTGATGCTACCCCTCCAGCTCCAGATATTCCTGTGGACTCCGTGTTGCCTCCCTATGGAGGTGGTCCTGTATCAGACACAAAGTCCGCTACTATAGATCAGTCTGACCCTGCTGGTGATTTAGCACCTGTTGACTTTACCTTCCCAGTTCCAGAAAACCCAAAGTCAGTTGGCCCTGGACAAGATTCAGGATCTGATTCTCAGCCCATGCCTGTGGTTGAACCTGGCAATGTTTCAAGTGACAATATTGAAACGCCTGGATCTAATTCTATCAATGCTGGACAGGAATCTTTTCCAGTAAAGCAAGGCAGAGGAGAGACAGGAAATGAAAAATCTGAATCAAGTGGTCCAGATTCTTCTGTGCCATACAGAAACATTCCTAATGTGGATCCAGGAGTGGATCCAGGCAGTGAGAATCCTGCAGTAGATTCTACAGCAAACAAAAAGGAAAGAACATCTTCTGGAGAGGAATCTGTTGAACCATCAGGAGGGTTGAAGTTTGAGGAAAAGAAAGACTCGAAACAAGAAATGACAAGAGAGGCAACAAAGGAAAAAGGTACAAAAACAACAGATTAGGATTCACAGTCAACAGATATTAGTGTAGAAAGTATCCTTGTTGTTAATAGATTACTCCACCCATCAACCCATCCATCCATGGTAAATGGACTGATTCTTATATAGCGCTTTTCTACTTTCCCGGAGTACTCAAAGTGCTCTATACAACATGTCACATTCACCCAATCACACCCATTCTCACAAGCACTGACTCTAAACTTAGTGCTTTCTAAGTACATGCACACAAATTCATATTCTGATGGAGCAACTTAGGGTTAGTATCTTGCCCAAGGGGAAGGTACTGTTTCCATGGCTGAAAGTTTCAGTGATTAAGTGGAACCTTTGGAGATTTCTCCATCATGGCATGATTGGTCAGATTACTGACACTGGGCGGATTGTAGGTTTATGCAAATTTGAAACCATTTTCTATTGAAGCATTAATGGCAGGTTTTTAGTGTTTTTTAGAAGAAATGTAAACAGAAAACATCAAAATCCTCATACAAATTAAGTATTTCATTTCCTTTTTGAACCAAGCAGTGCCTGAAGCCAAAGAGGAAACTAAAGAAAAATCTAAAGCCGAAGGAGAGAAGGAGAAAGAGGACAAAGGCTATGAGAAGAAAGGTACAGAATGCAGTCACTGTACTGCCATACTGCCACCTACTGGCAGGTAGTAGTAATGTAACCCTCATGGTAAAAATCCTAACAGGATGAATAGATCCAGTAAACGTTGTGCTGATCCCTGATTGGTAGATCATGCAGTGGTGACCCTGACTTCATATTGCCATGCTTACTGGTTACGCACCTGGTTTTGTGTCTAAAGCAACCCAGAAGATCCTGATTCCAGGAGGACCAAAGTTCAGTCAGCTGTCCAAAATTGCCTATGTGAGCTTCCAGGGTAAGACCTCTGTGTCCCACCCATTGACTGTAGAAAACATGGACGACGCGTCAGGTCCCCAAAAATGAAGCCAAAACGTCTCTATCGCCCCCTGGTGTCTGGCTGCAGTATAGGTCATAAACCCCGCCTCCTCCTTGTTAGCGGATGGGACTGGGGTCAGACTAAAATTAATTAATTCTCCTCAGATAATCTTTTTCCATAGATTCTTTCTTTTGTTATCAATAGTTGCTGATTTATGTCCAAGGGGTCTCCTTTCCCATAAGTTTGATTCTAATTCCTACCGCGATGATGTTAAATTGGGGTGAAACGTCATCATAGCAGCTTTGACTGGCAGCTGCAGTCACGGAGAAACTTGCGTATCTCTGTTCGGGAATAGCAGATAGAGCGTAGGCTCTGAGAGGAGGACCAGCGTTTACGTTACGAAAACATGACTGAGTGTTTTAACCTGACAGCCTGAGGTGTTCTTCAGGAAAATGGACTACCCGACAGAAGGACCCGAGGCCCCGCTGCACTTTTTCGGTAAGTTAAACGTGTTTGTAAGCTAATCCGTAACTACCGTCCTTAGCTCGGTCCTGAGACCTAGCTAGCTAAGATGAGGACTTGGCTGTCAGGGTTCGTTTAGCTAATCTGTGCAGGTGAATGAATTTACCCCGACTGAAGAAATCAAGAGAAACGCTCTGGGCTGCTCAGTCACTAATTACCGTTACTGTACTTTTATTACAAGTGTTATACTGTAAAAGCAACAGGTTGCATCCTGCTTCAGCTCCTGTGCAGAGCTGATTATTAAATATCTTAAAACAGCAGCATGTTTTCAGTCTCCACATGTGTAAAGACAGTAACACCATTTTTTTAAGCTTGTACTTCAGTAACTCCTCATTAATCTGTAACTATGGATTAAACTGTAGAACTGAAAAAATGTAAGAGAAGAGCATCAGATCCTGAGTGTGTGAGGACAGAAGGATCAGCTTTATTTTAGATTTAAGAGATAAACTTTATATTTCAGTTTGTGATGGTTCTGTTCTGTTTGTGATTACAGGAGCTGCCCTCAGATTCAGACCTCAGCACCACCCAGTGACAGCAGACAGATCATCCAACATGTTCACATGTTAACTGCAAAATGAACTGATGAAAACAGTACAAAGGTTAAAGTACCACATGTGCTGTAGTGAAAGCTGCAGCTGTTTTATTGATAAAGTTAAAGACAAAAAAACAAAACGATTAATCACTCATGTAACTGTGTCACTGTATATCAGCATTAACAGGACCTCAGTTTGGTGTTTCACAAAGCTGCTGATAGGGATGGGTACCGGTGTCCGGTGCCACCATAAACGGTAGTAACCAGACCAAAAAGCAGCGCACATTTCGGTGCTTTATTTCGGTGCTTTTTTTTCCTGAGCTGTGATACACTTCTAGCCAATCATTTTACGTTTCCGAGGATAGTAGGCGGGTCCAGGTACGT